TTAAAGGCTCATTTCAGTTGTATTGAATCATGGGCCTTGTATCAGGTGACCAAGATTTATAGTTATTTAATATACAAATGAAGAGGTCTTCGACATATTTGACAAATTTATAATATATAATAAATTATTTCAACATTGAATGTATCCTCAACGTCACAATGGACTTCAGTAGGCCCCAGCTTTATTTTACGATTTTCTCGCTGTAGTCTGAATACACGATTGATTTTGCATGATCTTCCGACGTTGCATAGATTAAGACAACAATATGCAAATCCTATTCATTTAGATAGGTAGAAAGAGAGATCAATTTAAAAAGCAGGTACTGATAACCAACTTTACAAGAAGTACCGAGCTTCATTTTTAGTTAGATAAACTATATCTTTTAATAATAATTGAGAGATTAGCATAATTATTATAATGAATTGATGAACTGAAAGAGAACAATTGTTAAATAAAGGATCTTTTTAACACTCGTGTTTCGTCATTATTTATTCCACGTCCTGCGAGTAGTTACTGCAGTGAGAAGATTTACGGATGAAATATTGCTAAAGCGTGATAATATCTGTTTAACTCGAGCATTTCGTTACGTACTGTGTACGTGGATCAATTATATTTTAGACTTTTGGAGGGAAACCTATTCTTCGATTCTCAACTTAAACTTATTACAGATCGTAGCGTGATGCTGTGGTGCGTAAAGGATTTGACATCGAAAGATCGCAGATCTCTGCGAGTCAACATAGAGTACGATCACGCGACTTTAATACGTTGGTCGCCGGATGGGAAAGCATTTATCATACACAAAGCTATGGCCAACGCTATCGAGGTGTATAAAGTCGCAAAGAAGTCTGACGGTTTCTTGATGTCTGCGACCAAGGCACTTGAGTTTCCTAAGGTATAACATTACATCTGTATAAATTACATTTACACGCTTTTGTTCTTGCTATTATCGTGTGTTCATATCGGTTTAGCGTCACACTGAGGACGTTGTCGGAATGGATATCGCGTGCACCGGGAAGTACATCATTACGTGCAGTAAAATGAATGATCTTATTGTATGGGACCTGAAAGGTCAACCATTGGCGACTGTGGAGCTACATCTGGGATCAACTTATCGCGCTCGTATATCGCCCTGTAGCCGATTCGTCGTCGTTTCTGGTAAGCCATACATTTCACCGTTGAAATAAAAAAGCAGTTAAAAATTAAATTAAATTTAATAAAATAATAATAATAAAAGAGAATTTAATTCAATAAAAGATTGTAATTTAACACGATTTTTATCTTTAGTTCATAGAAGCATTTTAAGTATTGAAGAAAAAAATGAAATGTAAGAGAGAGAGAATCATGTGTGCGATGAGATTGTGAAGGATTAATAGAATCATTTTTTTGCGAAAGGTTTCACGCCCGATGTGAACGTGTTTGAAGTAGTATTTAAGCAAGGCGAATTCAAGCAAGTGGCGAAAGCCTTCGACCTCGCCGGGCACACGTCTGGAGTTCACGACTTCGGTTTCAGCGCCGACACTAGTCAGATGGCTACCGTATCCAAGGATGGAACATATCGCTTCTACAATACAAAAAGTAACATAGACATATACAAATTTCAAGAAAATATTATCCAAAGTCTAAACGACGTTCTCACGTGTGACGCGTTCATCTCTTTGTAGTCGAATTTGAAAAAGGTGAAGATCCGCACCTTTTAACGACTGGAACTTGGGACACCATGATTCCGGCGAGTCTCGTTTTGTCTCCAAACGGGGAGGTTCTAGTGATAGCACATGGATCCTCTATTTCGTTTTACTCGACCATTACTGGCACCTTGGATAACACCATAGAGGACCTCTTTCTCGGTAATTTCTAGACTTTTCAATAATATCGCGCGATGTTATCGGTGCAATGACGATATCGATCGATGGATGAAATCGTTATCAATAAAAAGATGAAATCGCGCGGCTGCAATTTAATTATTGTCCTTTTGTTATTGTTGCAGGACCTATAACATGCTTGGCTTTTGAAGCTGCGGGAGAGTATCTCTTAGTTTCAGGCGATAAGCACATCAAGATTTTCCGCAATGTCACCGGATATCGAACCGCAATAGAATCCGCAAAACGTAAATTGGAGCTGAGACAGACGCAAGCAACGAGAGAACGTCTTCAAAAAATCATTCAGGATAACACGGAGTTCCTCATGAAAATGGGAGAGAAATGTCCATGACATTAATTCGCTCCCTCTTCTTTCACTCCACGGTGCGCCAAAATTGATTAAAAATAAAATAAAATTATTTCTTCTCCCGACAATGCTTTTTCTCTGTCGTGTAAATATTAATATATAAACTTGAATATTTTCTTCAAATAAAAATAATTTTCATATGTTCAAAACTTTTAAACATTTGATTTTTAATGATCTCTCATCCTTTCTGTGCAGAAATCTTCAGGATATTTCTGTAGTTTTATTAAAAAAAGTAAGTATCCACACTTATCTGTTTCAAGGATCTGTGAAAATGACGTTAAGAATAAAACTGATCTATTTTCTAATTTCATCCTATTTTTACTCCATTCTGGCTCACTGTGTGCATTCCTGATATTGCTCAAATAACTCAACATAGCGTTTTACATAACGTGATACAATACAGAAACAAAATGAGTACAATATAAAATTTTATGCACTTCTAAAAAGATTTTCTGCGCACAGACTGTAATCTACTTTTTTACGTATTACGAATAAAGTGTGCGATGGGCAATCAAAAGTTTCAGCTTTATATTCACCATAGATTCCATCATATAAATAACGATACTTCATTCGATTGCATGAAATAATGAATACTTACTAGTTTTAGATACAGAATTACGCGATAAGTTTCAAAAGTAATCTAGATATAATTGATCTTCGATTACTATCACATATGAAAATAAAGTCAGTTTGCTTGAAAGTAAACAAAAATTATAATGACGGGTTTACATTGAGACACAGCACATACATACGCACACACATAACGAATACTGTCTAAACAATTTATTGTTATCCTTGTACTTTTGACTACCATTTGTTCATGGAAATAATTACAGTTTTTCGGCAGAAACTTAAAACATTGGCGTACACAAAGTTGAAACCGATTGCGCATTTTTATGATCTTATTCTCTTATTATCGTTATCATATTATTTTTCCTTTTGTATATATTTTCTTTTTTTTACGAGAAAACGCGATCTTCTATTACAAACTACAAAAATTTCTACATGTAATAGATGACTATATACAAAATAGTATTCTTGGCATCGTGAGTTGTAAGTTTGGGTAATAGAACGCGCGATCACATTATGATCGTTCGCACTCGAGAACACGATTTTGTAGTAATCCTTCTTTTGTATAGGTGTGACACTCGCGGTGGACATACATACAATGAGCGATACAGTTTACTTAAAGGATGTGATTTTGTCGCACTTCTATTAGATTAGGCTATAATTTTTGCTATACCAAAATGAAACATTCAGGTTCATATTATTTTAAAACTGTACATCTTTTTCCAACCTCTAATGCATAAAAGAAACAATTTTATTGCTGTTCTGTGACAAATATAATTTCTTGTTATTCTCGATGGAAATTTTAGAGAATGTCTTCAATATACATTCTTCTGTTTTTATTTTATATATATGTTCGATCTGTAGTTAAACGTGTTTAAGAAATAGTTCTCGGACACTGCATCGTCCATGTTATAAAGTCGTCAGCAATGATATGAAAAAAGTTTTCGAGTTCTGCAAACTCGATTAAAAATATTCGATACAGTATCCTCTTGAAATCAAATATTAATATAATTTTATCATTGGCATCACATTTATTGTGTTACATGTTTATTTCGCAAATTATGTATTTTATAAGATCAACTAAAACTATCGGTCTATAAGAAAGAACTTTCATTGAAAAAAACACATACTTAGCACTGAAAAACAACCGTTACAGTCGATATAACAAGAATGTAATTTCTTAGTAAATAATATAACATTAATCATAACTTATCTTTAAAGCATGCAAAGCAGCTTCAAAGCAGCTTCAAAACAGTTCTCATATGGAACAAATTTTTGTCTAAGAACTTTATTTGCGTAACGACGGAGGCGCAAACATTTAATATTCGCGCTGCTTGTATTTTCAGTAAAAATCTTTATCTTTAAGAGATGTTAACATATTTCCGAACTTACTAGTAGTGATAAACGCCGGTTTATCAGTATCTGGCACTTAATGGCAGATTGATGGTACTTCTAGGTTATTGTGATTGAATTTGTCTTTTCATGAAAAGTTCGACAAGTGACGCGAAAAACTGCAACGTAGGGAGATACTCTAACCATTACGTGAACTGTTATCGGTTACTTGTCTAAGCATGATTTCAAGTGCTAAACTCTTATTAATAATTAAAGATGCAATCATCACACGTTATCACTGAGTGAAAAAAGTTACAAAATGGAGTCTTGATCACGTACTTTCGTGTCGCTTAAATTGTTTGCCGATTTCATCTGATTTGTTAATTTCTTCTTTTTTCGTTTTTCTTTTAAGACTTTTAATTACTAAGAACGCGTGCACGCACACGTGCGAGCGTGAGAAACAAAGATTAAAATCTTATGTTGGTGTGCATTCTCTATACTATAATAAATAGATAATGGTATCTATTTCTTTTCTTTGTCCATTTCGGCGATTTCTTTTTTGACAGAAATTTTATTGTCAGATTTCTTATCCTTTTCCATCTCCGCTGGATCTTTTTTCACCTGAATCTTGTTGTCTCCCCATCTGGTGTCGGTTTTGAATTTGCTCTCCAATTCAGAGCCATTTATCTCTCCGACTTTTTCATCTTGTATTTCTACCACTTCCACCTTCCTCGCATCGCCCTGCATCATCTTTGCCGCTATGTGATACATATTCTTCACTGCAGTCAAGTAAGTATGACATTCAGTCTGTAAAAAATATCGCGGTAAATTTAATACCATGTTTAAACTTTATAAATTTAATATATAATAGAAGAATCACAGAGCGTATATACTTACAGAGACTTTCTTAAATTTTTCTTCCGTGTTTCGCAGTTTATCTTTGTACATCTTCAAATCTTCCGTAAGACCTTTAATACTACTAGTTTGTTTCGTAGATTTCTCATTGACTACGTTCAACTCGTGCTGTAGCTCCATCATGCGATCCTCCGTGTCTAAACGCGCTTTCTCAGATCTTTTCAATTGACTTACAAGCTTCTCTACATCTAACAAGGAGCCTTTGTACGTAACAATGCCTTCCGGAGTCATTTCCTCGTCGGTTTTCTCTAAAATGCAATCTTCTCTACGCGCTCTTTTTGAAACCGGTCCGCTTCCAACAAATACAGGCAACAATTTTTTATTTCCTGTAAACGCAAAAAGTACAATAAAAAATATGTTTTATTCATATAAGTAAAAAAAAAAAAAAACAAATACAAAGCAAGATAGTCACTTATGAGCACATGTTAGACAGTTTTAATTTATATTAAGAATAAGATTTATATGAAAAAATATATTACCGAGAGCAAGAGAACGTAATATATCTTCCTCGTTCTCCGCTTTAGCTGTTTCGTTTCTATCCTCTTTGTCGTCTTTCTTCTCATCTTTTGAATCGTCTTCCTTCGACTTGTCCGTTAACTTGCGATAATGCAAAGAATCTCTCGTAACAACCTTTTGTACTAACTTCCGTACTTGAGCTCTTGATAAGTTCAATCCCAGTGTATAAATAAGTTCCTCAATGTCTTTATCGAATATATATCCACAGTGTGTCTGATCGAAGTATACAAATGATAGCAGAAGATAAGGATCGTGCGTATATAGTTTTGTTTTCCTCTTTTTCCCGTCTTTGTCTCTGTCCTTTTTACCATCTTTCATAGAATCATCATCCTAAATCGTAATTAAAACGTCTATATTATAAATTTATAAGTATGTATATATATATATATATATATATATATATTGTAACTAATATCTATAATGTAAAAAATATATTATACTGAAGAAAGTAATTGTACACAAAAGAAAGAGAATTTTAAGACATAAGAATGAGTTCTTACGTCCGACTCGTCGTCTTCATCCTCCTCTTCATCATCGTTTTTGTCTTTGTCTCTATCCTTGTCTTCTATCTTACTTTTTGCGTCCTTATCATCCTTTTTATCCTTAATCTCCTCTCTCTTCTTGTCATCCCGTTTCTCATCTTTCTTACTGGATTTTTTCTCATCTTCTTTTCTCTTATCGTCTTTCTTCTCATCTCTCTTATCATCTTTTTTATCCTTCTTTTTGTCTTCGTCTTTTTCTTTAGTTTTTTCAGGAAGACTGCACAACGCACGATATATGCGAAAACCGAAATCTCGCGTTAACATTTCGTTGAATAATTCGGCAAAGAGAGATACTTCGAAAGAATGTTCCTATACGCAAAAGATATATATACTATATAATATACATAATATCTTTCTTAAATAAAGTAATAATAATTTCTAAAACAAAAGGAAACCTTGGTATCTTCTGGTCTGTAGTCCAACAATACGCTCAAAGACATAACTGTACAATCGAATTTTCCACTCTTGGCCATTCTAGAGGGATGAACAACAATGTGCGATGAATCAGGTAAAGTATATCTTTTCTCGAGCACAGCCCGTTCACGTTCGTAAAGTTTTCTCTTGTCTTCATCATGCTACAAACAATTTGACGATAAATTAATAGATATAAAAGCTCTGTGAAAAATAAATAAAAATTTCATAATTAATATTCGTATAATAAATATAAACTATATAAATTTTAATAATGTTTAAGTTTTACATGCATTGCTACTTACGTCTTTACTGTCTCGGAACTTTTTATCATCTTCTTCCTTCGACGGTGGTGAGACGTCTTCTTCATTTTCGTCCGCCTCATCTTGCCGTCCTTCTTCTTTGGCTTGCTCCGACTTTATAGCTTTTAGAAGTCTGGCTAATAATTGTGATTTCAGGCCTTTCGAACTCAAATTGCGAGCCACCAGTTCTTGACGTAAATCGTTCACCTGCAATACAAAACATATAATGGATTTATATTCGCAACAGAAAAAAATTAATTTGGAAAAGTGTTTATTTTTCATATTGATCTGGAAGAAAATTTATTCTTTTCTTCACTGACAGTAAACACGTTGAAAATACTTACATTCATTGATTTTGGATCTAATTCAGAATAGTGCGTAGGATCCTTCTTCTCGGTCATAGAATCATCCTGAAAGAAGAAAAAACAGTTAACGAGGCGGAAGTAAAAAAGCTATAGAAAAAACTACAAAACAGAAGCAGCCCCTATAACGAAACGAAACCACTCCCTCCTTCATTCTTTCATCACTCTCTATTTTTTTTTCAACACTCTCTCACATCGTAACGATGTACACATCTTCATTCACGATGACCGTCAAGTATGATTCAAGTAACTGCTAGAATCTCATAGTGTCCTGGCTCTGGTGTCTGTGTGATCGATAGGTCATGGATAATATCAATAATGTTGTAGTATATAACGATGATTAAATGAGGATTTTTGAATGATTTTTCAATGTTGGTGAAGGTTTCAGGAAAGGGAATGGCTCAGCTGCGCTCTTGCCCCGAGCTAGGCTTGCTTGCTTCTCTTGTTAATGCAATGCGACTGCCATTGGCTAAGGGAGCGATACATTACCCGTCGATCCTCGTTTGCAACAAATAAGCGTTTAAGAGTTCTTGTGTTCTTATATATAGAGAATAGTAAAGAAGTCTTAATATACATAAGTTATGAGAGATTATGAGAGTATGTACACTCGGACTTTGCCTTATTAAAAGTTATATATGATGCCTTAAGTTGCAACATCGAAAAGACTTGTTCCATAAAATAAGATACCTTAGTTTACGGAAAAAGCCAAATAACATTAAGTCGCCAACCAATGATACGAGTGTAACCGGTCTCGGGACAATTACCGTTGCCTAACGATGCAACCGTGCCCGTTAATATACCTAACGTACCTAAACAGCGAATTTTTTAACCGATGGCGAGAGCGATCTGTCGCATAAGAGATAATGAAGGTAAGATAACAGTGTCCGATATAGATCAACCTACTGATAGGATCGATGGACAAGTATAGCCTATTGAAAATCCAGTTTAGTAGTGGGGAAACAGTGGGCACGAATATATAATAATAATAATAATAATAATAATGTAATAAAAAGATATAAAAGTAATATATATGGGATGATGATTGGCAGTGCCTTTTGATCAGCGACGGCAGCCTCATCAGTCTCATTGGCGGCATCCAAATCGTCGGAGTTAGAGGCGGCACGCAGCAACTTTCGTTCCAGTTGTCTCTTATAGTTGAGTTGCAACCCGTCCCATTCCAATCTGGTAGGCACACAGCTCCAAACATCTGGGAGAAATAGTATGACGGTTTCAACGCGAGACGGTACCACTCGCCCGGACTTGTGGGTCGTTTCTGCGCGTCTGTAGTAGAGTTCCAGGAAGCGGTACCTGTGCCGCAAGGAAAAACAATACCCAAACATCAACTCAAGGTTAGATGCCGCTTAGCTTTGCCTTATATGCTAAGTGTGTTCGCTCGCTTGTTCGAAAAGCCCACGCACTGCATACAAAGCCACGTGTATCAGCGCACAACGTAGAGACCATTTGAGTAAGCACAACTGAGTGGGTCACAATCATATGATAGAATAATAATAGTGATGGTTTGTCTGCCGCGACTGCCCGTATATCGTCGTCGGGGGGGG